ACGACGACATGTTAATGGTTATCTTTAGACTTGTTATCGATGATATATTCGAAAACATACTTAAAGACGAAAATGTGGGAAAGGAAGCCGGAAGCATTATGTGTACTAACAGAAGATTCAACAGCCTTTTCACCATAGTTTTCTTTAAAGAACTCAATTACTACATCAAACAAATAAGAGTTTTTGAAACTGTATCCCTACCACAAACTGAAGATGAGATAACCTCTGAAATCAATAATATCGAAAACATGGAGCTCTTGGAATCACTCCCAGAAATCAAAATGTACGGAAGTGAATTTCTACTGAGAGTTATGACCAAAAATAAATCCTTTGAAAATATTTTCCTTAGAAACAAAGATCAAGCTACCACCGAGTACATTTATATGATATTAGAAGACATAATTATTAGAGACGATTTTGACAGTCACATATTCGCCATTATTAAAAAGGTCTTTTCTCTCGAAGCACTCAAAAAAAATGGATTACAAGATATGTTACGAAAAAAATACCAAGAAAAAGTACCATATGAAATAGATGTTATCAAATTATTAAATTTATGGTGTGTTGTAGATAATTTTGTAAGACTGTTGTACAATTCAAAGCCAGAAGATTTATTCTTAGCATACATCAAAAGTGGTTTATTATTAAAACTTTACAATTACTTTCAGGAAGATCACGAAGAACCACTCACTGCAAAAAAATTTATCGACTCAGTAATATTCTATCTAAATAACACATCAGGTTTTGAAGCAAATTACAAAATATTTTTTTGTTTACTTCCTAAATATGTAGCCAGAGCATTCAAAGTAATCATGTATAACATCATTATATAACACATATTTAATTGTGCCAATGTAATAAAGTTATTCTTTCTTTGCATCATATAAATACCGCTTAACAACTTTAAGATCCGCCTAATAAAAAACAATTATGGAATAAGTGCTATTGGTTTAATTTAATTGGACGGAAGTCACGTGACTGTGCAGGAAATGTTGGAATGGTTGGCGCTTGGAGCACTAAAATAATTTTCGGCTGTATAACTAGTACAATCATATCTGAGACGGAAAGCGAAAACATATTTTCAAGAAACATAATATCTGAATCATTTCAATTCAATTTTGAAAGTCTTCAAAAAATAAAAAGCTAAGTTAAAAGTAAATTTAAACTATGTTAAAAAGATAATTTATCTCTTTAACATGTGTCATTAATATTGAAAAAGATTTTAAATCCGGTGAAGATTGGACTCTTAAAGAAGACCGAGAAGAACTAATATGCATAGACTCTTATGCGCATCTCTTTAGAAAAAATGAACAAAAACTAACCACGCTCAGAAACTTCATAAATTATTGTTATCAGGCTCATATTGTTGGAAACATAAGATTAGCCTGCGAAAAAACAGTTTCTGATCTAATCAATTTATTATTTAACTAATTAGATTTGTACTTTTTATACTATCATTAATAATTAACATTTTTTATAAACTTTTTATCAGCTTTATTAGTAATAAAATGACATCATTCTTTTTTAGTTTACTCAACAAAATTTAAAGAACTTAATGAAATTATGAATCCTTCTGTTTTAAATTCACTTAAAGCGTTTTGTGTGTTATACACGAAATTTCTTTTATATGATTAATTGCATTTGAGAAAAATAAAAAAAATTATCGATTTTTTTTCAAAAAGAAAAACATTCAAGAAAATAAAATAATTTTACTGTTACGTAATTATACACGTTAAAACATATTAGGTATTATAATTTTTTAAGGAATTTTTCACATGAAAAAAAATAAATGGAAATTTATCTACTGCTGAGATATATACAAAGTTTCCAATTCTTCGCGCGCTATCGCAAAAGGCTTTGTTCAATGAAAAATGTGCTTGTTCAAATAAGGTAATAATTAATTCATACAGTATTTGTTTTAATTTATCCTATTTTCTATTTACAAAACGAAACTCCGAGTTGTATATAACGAGCGATTAATAATATTATAATATATAGTGCTGATCTGTTATGCAATGAACAACACGTAAATATTTTAACAAGTATGCTCAATTAATCTTAGAAACTCTGTGTATAGAATTCCAAATTAAATCTATATTGAAAGGGTATAGTATGCGATAAATTAGCAACTCAGAAGTGTGCAAGATTATTTTGTTCAAAAGTGTCCTTGTTTCAAGAATTCATTTAAATGATAACGCAAAAAGTTTATACCACTTTACAGGATATTAAGCAAAGAAATGGGTTATATTTAGTAACGCGTAATGTTAAATGTTTTACCAATTACAAATTACAGCAAAAATAACCATTTGGTCAAAACATATTAGTAACGCATAAGATACACCAATACCTATATGAAAGTTCAAACTAATTCTCGTTTCAAGATTCTGAGTATCTAAATATTTTTATTTAGCTAACCAATACGTGACTTATTTTAGCATCCATTGGTGCTGAAATAAACACGTGACACTGAGAACTAATGCTACAGTATGTTTTATTCGCGAAAGTATTACTGTATGAAACAAAAATAACCATCCGGACAAAAGACCGTATTATAGTAGTTTGCAATAACGTGTAAAAATT